CCTGCTAGTAGAAGAGTGGCGCCTGCGGGGGTCCAAGCCTCCAGAGGCTGACTGCCGGAAGAGGGGGCTAGGGCCTGGGGTAGGACGGGGTCTGAGGGGTGGAGACTTTAGGGCGATGGGGCGGAGTCTGTGAAAGGGCGGGACCTGCAGAGTTCCGATCCTATCTCCGCAGGGAGGAGGGAGCGGGTCGGCGTCCCCAGCCTACAGGCCGGAACTGTGCGGATTTCTCCGCAGGCGGCCTCACGACCCTAGACATGGGGCCTTTGCGCCTGCTGTGTCCTAGCCCGCGGCTGCACAGACCTACGCTTCTCACGCGGGATGGGATTCGAGCGGAAGCGACACTTCGCAGGCGTTCCAGTGTGGGCGGGAGGCGAGGGCAGGAAAGGCGTGACTGCTCCCTTACTGTCCACACCACAGACGGGCCCGCAAAGCCGCGCTGTCTCCACACAGGAACACTGTGGCCGGTAGGAAAGGCCCGCTCCCACCACGGCTCCAGCTGGAGGCTAGGGCTCCACGGAGGGACATCTCCAGTACACACACCTTTGCCCTGTCTTGGGGGTCATGTCCCCCAGTCATCCTGCCTCCATTGCCAGCAGCACTCGGGCTCCCTACTCCTGTGGGCCTGCCCGGGAATCAGAGTTGGGGAGGCCTGCTGGGGACCCACTTGGCCCCCAAGAGCCTGGGAGGTACCCACAACAAGCAGAGCAGAGAACTCAGGGCAGCGCAGCACAGAGAGTGGTCCCTGGGGACCAGAAAGACCAGAAGAGCCCAGCGAGAGGAGAGTGATGCCCCTGTGTCTAGGCTGCTACAGGGGCTGCTACAGTGACAGGCTGCCTGCCCTTGGGGGCTGTGCTTGGAAGCCAGGCTGCAGGCCTTATGAAGGAGAAACTGGAAGGGGACTTTCAGTTCCCTCTGCCCTGGCCCTGCAGTGCATCCTAGGCTAACCTCGAACTGCTGGATAAAAGAGCCTGGAAATACCCTGGCGATGGATACAGAGCCAGGACTGAGTGTCCGGAAAGCTGAGGGCAGAATATTCCAGCAGGTGGAACCGGCAGTGCAGAGAACCCTGGCAGGGCTTCTAGGAAAAGTCAGGCATCCTTTCTAAGCTGTCCCTTGGCCCAGCACCCAGAGGCAGTCAGCAAGGTGCTCATCCTCCCTTGCTCTGCACCCAGCTGGGAGACCCTTTCTGTCCTTGTCTCCTCAGCACCCCTCTGCCTTCATCCTCCTAGCACTCGGCTCTACCTGGAAGGGCTGTGGCCCAGCCACAGTGCCCACACTGTACTGACTTCAAGGAAGAGCAGCACCCAAGGACAAGTCAGGAGCCAGCAAAATGCACAGGAGACATCACAGACAGGAAAACCCACAGCCAGAACTTCCCACTTCCTGATGGAAGTGTCAGTTAAAATGGACTACTACAGATAAATGGTCCTCCATCAAACTCTCCCTTAAGCTCCCTAGAATGTCTTCCAGAGCAGTCAGCAGCTCGGCAGAACTGTAAACACTTGCCCAACACAGTACCCACAGGTGGGGACAGTCATCCCTCCTGAGGTGACCAGTGGCACTCTGTGGAGCTTCCCTACCCTTCCCTCTCTGGGTCCCGCCCAGAACAGAGGATCTGGCCTGGGCAGTCTGTACAGCAGGCCTCACTTCTCAGTTCCACGGGTGGAGTCAGGTTCTGAGGAGGGCCCATTTCTCTTGCTGCTCTCTGAGGAAACATTGTGCCCTCCAAGTTCATACAGAGAATCCCCTCACCTCAAAATGTGACTTTAGTCAGAGACCAGAGCTTATAGAGATAATCTAAACCAAGGTTCTGCAGGGTGTGGTGGTGCATGTCTGTAATCCCAGCACTCAGGAGGCTGAGGGAAGAGGATGGTCGTGAGTTTAAGGCTGTCCTGGGCTACATAACAAGACCCTGTCTCAAAAATTAAACCTAAAAAAAATAAATAACTAAAAATAAAATGAAATCCTTATAGAGGTTCTTGTCCCACAGGACTGCTGACTTTATAAAAGAGGAAACTTGGACACAGGACTCCAACACAGGTGCAGGGACAACACTGTGTGATGGTAGAAGCCAAGGTGAAGCTTGACAGGCGACACCAAGGACAGCCAGCACCACCAGGAGCTACAGTAAGGCCAGGATAGAGCCCCCCTCAGCCCAGGAAGGGACCGGCCCTGCGATTCCTTCACCTCGGCTTCTGCCTCCAGGACAGAAATGATACGTCTCTGTGGTTTAAGGCACCCAGTCTGCCCCAGGGAACCAGGGTCTGTGCGGCTGACAGGCACAGGAGTGGAGCACAGCCAGTGTGCCACCTGGCGACTGGATCCTCCCAGCATCCTTCTGAGTGCTCAGGTGGAGGAGAGTCACTGGCTTGGGGGCGTCGCCAGCCTCGGCTATTGTGATCAACATTGGGCTGATACGCACCTTGACTGTTTATCGAGTTTCTGGTTCTTACTGATTTGTAGGTGTTCTTCAGCCATCCTGGAGGTGACTTTCTGGGCAGTCG